TGCTAACTCTCATTTGTCCTGCTGACCTTTTGATTTCTGTTTGGTAATGGCGTCCTTTCAGATCATCTTGGGCCACAGTAATGTCCACATGAGGAGAATGTCAGGTACCGAGAAAAGCTGCTTTGGGTGCTTTCTTGTCAGTCTGGTGGGACCACTTTTTGTGTGCCAGCGGCTGATAACATGTCAGTATTGCACTATGATTTCTTTTTTTTTAATGGAAGGAGATGCACCTGGATATGGCTCTCAATCCAGCACCTACAAAAGGAGTAAATCAGGGTTTTGAGATCTTGCCCTGCTGTTGTTTCTAAGGTAGTTTTTGCACAGATATACGCTTGCCTTCCATCTTCTCTTGTGCTTTTCTTGAAGTTACTTTACTTCTACTTTTGAATCCCTGGTTATCACGATCATGCCAGTGCCTTGGCTTTCTCTGGTATGTTCAGATTATCTGTGGAGTTACTGGTGTACAGTCAGGTTTCTGTTTTGCTTGTGCATTAACTCTGAAAAAATTAAGTTGGCTGCCTGTATTTTAAAACCCAAATTGGGTCCATGGAAAGGCAGAAGTCCTTGCATAGGGACAGAGCATGCTGGATGTCACTGTGCAGTGCTGGGTTGGAGCAAGTAATCCCAGCCAGACCGGTCTGACAGCTAGAGAGTACTGAGCATCTGTGCATCGCCCTTTTGAAGGCTTTATATTCCAAGAGCTTTGTCAGCTTGTGTGTAATATGGCACGAATGCACAGAGCAAGTCTTAATCTAATGCTGAATATGAGTCACTAAGCCCTTTCAGAAAACATGCAACTAGCAGCACATCATGAAGCTGTAACATTTGCAAAACCCACAGGCTTTTCCTCTCCATGAATTAGCCAAGAAGTGTCTGCATTTCAATGATGTCGAGTGTAAATGCAGCATGGGGACTCAGCTTTCCGGGTGGAGGCTGGGATACACTTACTAGAAAACAGAAGTCAAGTTTGAAATAAAAACACACAAAAAAAATCCATAAAATAAAACACAGAATTAACAAAAATGTCGATTTTTTCACTCTGAGTAAACAGAGAAGTTCAGCTGTGGACAGTATCATGCTGAAGGGATGCAATGCTGCGTTCTGTATTTTGAGACTGGCTGGCTTTAGGAAGGGGTTGCCAAACCATTCAGGAGTGACCGTTCTTAGAAATCGCGTTCTTCATCATGAGGTTAAGGTGCTTAATTGCAATGTACTGACCAAATACTGCTGTGGAAAACTATACCTTCTCTCTATCCAACAGATTGCTGCTTTATCGATCATCAGCTGTTGCAATTGTTCTCCCCACTGCAAATCCTTTTTCTTCATCAACAGTTGTGACCTTGACCACCTTGTTGGCCCCCCCTCCCAGAAATATCTCTGCTTGCTTTGACTACATGCATCAATGCCCTTCCCTGTCTAACCTGTAGCACTAAACTTCAGCTTTTTCATGGGAGTAACACCAGCTGACTTCAACTTCATGAAGGAGACTACCATAGATATAATGCATTTAAGGAACTGGAACTTTGGGAAATGTGTAAAATAATCTCACAAAAGAAATATTAGGTTGGGAATATATCCCTGAATTTATTTGGGATAAAAGTCTATTAGAAATGTTTGGGGAGTGTCAGCATAAATGACAGACAATTTTCATGCTTTTTTCCTAATATTAAAAAGTAGTTTCAGTTTTCCAGCTAAGGAAAACCAAAATTTTTGGTAAAGTTTTTGCTTGAGCTTTTCAACATCTACCCTCTTTCCTTTTTTGTTTCCTGTCAGGTAAGAGGAAGAGTAGAAAGATCGTTACATGTCAGCCCAATCTACTGCTGAATTGGGCCCGGACTCCTCATTTGACGCTCTCACACTTTCCCACCTAGTTCCTAAAGGGAAGTACAAAACCATATATCCAAATATACCAAATAAATGTATCCAAGATGGAAACTCTGCCTTTGAAACAACTATTGAACTTGGTTGCTGTTGAGTCTTTATGCATTTCCTAAGAGATGTCTCTTCAAGCATTAACCAATACTTAATGGCTTTTTGCTGTCATCTGGCCCCTTACTTTGCTCGTCTTCTCTTTGTCAACTGCAAATACAGGTACCTGGAAATACCTCAGTGTTGTTATCATGTAGGAAAACAAAGCTGTGATACATTTCTTTTGTTTTGACTTAATGTATATTTTTCTTACCTAACACAAAACCTCACAAACAGTTCAGGTGATAGTGCTATTTTTGAGAAGCTGAGTATTAGAACATAATAGAGGGCCGTAGGAAGTGCTGGGCCATCCTAGCCTGGCATCTGCTTTCCAAAATAAGATGTCCCACTAAAGCCTCAACTCTCAGACATAGTTCCTACCCTGCAAATGCTGGTGGAGGTGTCAGCCTGAAGAGCTTTCCTGAGCATGACTTGAGGCAGGCGCTGAACACTGCAGCCATACGAAGGCAACGAGGCTGGCACGCGCCACCCCAACGCTGACAGACTTGGAACCAAGGCAGCCAGAAGGAAAAGGTGGATCCAGTCACTATACTGGGCACTTCTGTGGTCAGTGGAGGGTATGTGCAGACGGCCTGTGGCCCGAAGACCATCTTTACCGGGTGCGAGGCAAGCAGCACGTCTTCTGGACTGAGACGTGTCAAAGAAGACAACCTTTAGCACTTGGTGCAGAGCGGCAAGCTGGGGAGAACAAAGACAGAACCTGCAGGGTGATTCCAGCTGCATGTTGTCCTTAAGCAGTATCCATGTTGCAATATGTTTTAAGTGCAACCCTTCAGCTCAAGAATCAAAAAGGCTAAAGATTCCATGATAATTAGTAATCTCTGGAGTCATACAGATCTGTAATAACTACCTACAGATCAAAGACATTTCATGTTTAGCATAATTTCTGTAATTAAAGAAGTCTTGAAATTAGTATTTGGAAGAGGCCAGTCTATTCTTCTAGTTATCTGATTGAATATGGCCAATTTTTGAATGATGTTTCACATCCAGGTGTACAATCAACGTTTTGGTACCAGGTAGCCAGGAGACAAAAGCTGCTGTATGATTTGTAGGTCACTGCAGGATTATCCCAGCTGGACGAATGGGACTCAGAAGGCCCACTGTGTATGATCATTCCCATGTATAGGCGCTGAAGAAAATGCTGTAAAAAGAAGAAAACTACAAATGTTGAAATACCAACCTTATCTTCAGTCATTGCTGGCATTGCTTCTTGATGTTAAGCAAGTTACTATTTTGATTGTGCTAAAACCTTATCTGGAGAAGTAAAAATAGTGAAAATATTCCTTAAAATGTTTCCATTTGCAAGTCTCAGTCCTTGAACCAAAGTAACCACATACTTGAAGATGTTTGTCCTTGATTTCTTTTCTGAAGCTTCCAACCTTCCCTGAAACCGTTGAGTTGGGAAATGTTAAAAGTGATTTGAATTTATCTATTTATATCACATTTATATGCATTTATATTACAACATCCAAGCTAAATTCTTCAGATTTTAGGCTTGATAATTGAGACATAATTGTAATAATTTATGATTTATGATACTGCTCCCAGAGTTATTTCTCCAACATGCCATGCTATGGCTTTCCGTGTTAATGAAGGCTGGGCTGTGAGCGTCTCTCTCAGAAACTGCAAAGCTTATTTTCTTGCATAAAACTTTCAGTGCTGGGCAGAGGGGATTACAAAAGACAGTAGAGTGGCTAAAGCAGTTTATATTATCAGTGATTTGGAAAAAAAATTACCTTGATTAACCTCTAAGTGCTTTATTTGTTACAATGGTAGTTGAGTTATGATGCCGAGGTATAGTTTAAACAGAGCCATGCATTATACACAGCATTGTGCCAACTCTTCTCTGCCACATTTGTTTTGAGTAATGGTTTTAATGTAAACGAGACCCCAGATATTTCTGGCTAGTTTTCCTCACTTCTCTCTTTTATCTTTGTCTAGCATCTCCAATTGCATGAAGTCTTCCCCCAGGGGGTTGTTACTGTTACTGTCCTTTATAAATTTCCCATTTTCACATATGCGCTGCCTTGTAATAATTCCTGACTATATCATAACCCTTTGGGTTATAAAAGGCAGGGTTCTACATTATTTCTCAGAGATGAGTTAACTCCCCTCTTTCTTCCTTCTTCTGTGGTTTACAGTATCAGTAAAGTAAATACAGGCATTCATGAATCTGATTTGGTACCATCCTGCTGCTAACACAGAGAGATCACAAATGTGGACATGTAGTCCAGAACCAAGAAATATGATCACCAAGTTGTGTTACTATTCTTCTGAAAGATCAGCACCTGGACTGCCTTTGAACACAGCGTACGCCCACCTGCCTTCAACCTTTGCAATGGCCTGTGCAGGCAGCAGCAAACAAAGAGTTTGGTTTTAAAACCAGCCTCGGGGATGCCCTCTGCGGTTATGATAGAACTACAGCTCCGGTCCACTGTGGCAGTCAGGACTTAAACCCAGTTTTCTGTGTCCTCCCTGACGAAGTCTTTAAAAACTACCGCAGACATATGTTCTGGCTTCATGAACGGAGTTGACGGGATAGCATTTTACCCAGGAACTCCAAGCAGCAAGGTGCTGTAGGGCACCGCTAGGGTCTCAAAACCAAATGAAATGTGAAATTACCAAAATACATAATCTGGCAAGGGCTGAATAGTCCCAGTATCAAAACGAGAATCTCATGACAAAGAAACATGAATGCTCTATCAAATTCCACACAGTGCAGCACAAGGGCTGTTTGCAACGGCTATGCAATTTAGATGGGAAATGAAAAAGTATTCTCCAGCTTTGACTAGTCCAATTGTAAAACCCTCCAAATGCTGCTTCCATTTTGTCCCTTGGGAGATGAGTGAAAGTCACTCTGTATTTTCAGTTCACTCGTGACACTGTACATGAGGGAAGGCCCTAGATTCCATACACTATTTTCCCTTCCTTCCTGTTCTCTTCCCCCACCCCAAATACACTCTTAAACCACAATTTTTTTTGGTTCAAACAACAAGGCTAAACAGGTGAAATTTTAAATAATGATTGAGGATTTTTTTTATTCATTTAAGTTTCAATATTGTTACAGAAAATGTTATGGTACAGAGTTGTTTAACATTAGTTTTACTTCTTTGCTCATTTATTCCACACGAATGCTGGTAACACTAATATCTGTACAAGATCAGTCTTTGATTTTTTTTAGTTTTTAGTTCTGTACATTTTTAAATGTATTGGTTAAAAAGGCTGTCAGCACTTAAGGAAGCAATTTTTTTCTTTGTTGAAATAAAAGGTATCCAGTTACTGCCCAAGAGTACTGAGCTGGGTGGCTGCCGGGACAAGAGAGATCCCTGAATGCGCAGCGAGGTGAGAAAACCTCGGGGCTTCATTGGGTTCCCCGTGCAGCCACTCTGCTTTTGGCACTGTGCACATCAACACGAGATACAAGATAAAGAACAAGCAGAAGCTCTCTGTGAAGCGGTTATGAAGCATACTAATAAGGGAAATCCAAGTGTTGTCTACGCTAGTATAAATAAGCAGACAGCCTTGTTTTAAGAGCATAAGTAGTTGTATCTTAAAGATGAGAAAAAACACAAGTTCTGCAGGCACCTACTGCTGTCTACTAAAAGCTACCGCTATTAGAACTAGCATTGAACACACAAAGCAATTGCAAGGAAAGGAAAAAGTTGCTTTGATATAATCAGAATAAATTTCTTTGTTAAGATTTGTTTTAAAGTTTTTTTTTAAAAGGTATTTATTTAAATTCCATTTGAAATATAATTCAAGATGTTGACTATACTGATCAACTTTTATCCAAATCAGAAAAACTAGCTGTGCCGTTGCATATTACAGGATACAGTCAATGATATGTGGACATGCATCAAAGCTTCGCTCTTGCTGGTGACATCATAGCCTTCCAATGACCATGACATCCACCACCTCCCCCTTGTGAAGCTCCACATACTGCTCTGTCTTTGGAGGTAGCATCAACAGTCCATTGGCACTGCGCATACTCATCAGACGACTGCTCATCTGATTCCCTACAGGAGAGCGAGAGAAAAATTTCCGTTAAGCTTTCAGTTAGTTTCACATGCTGCAACGCACCACGTGGGAAACGAGCTGTTCTTACGAAGATGTTCCTGTTGCTAACTTATTCACAGAGCTGGGATCCTGCTGTTCCAAGGCGGATGGAAACAGAGAACTCTGTAGACTGTCAGTCAGCCTCTCATAGCTCTGGCTCTCAAAACTCTCATTCTCTTTGCTGATTGCTTTCCTATCCAGCCTTCAACATTATCTGTACCTTGTATCTTGTCATAGTACATTGCTTTTCTGTTGGTATTTCTAAACCTATCAAAATTACTTTATTTTTCAATTTGTATACCTAATTCCTACTGTACAAAAGACTAAAAACAGCACAGTCTAAAATGTTTTAAATATACTGTTACAGAATAAGTTTGATTAACTGTATTGTTCTCTCTGAATAGTCTTGTTTAGCATTAGTAGCTTGGGACCAGTAGCTAAAGTATTGAAGCCTTTGGCCGCAAGAGCTGATGGAGAATAAGCTTTTTGATAAAACTAATGCTGCTAACACAGAACTAGCTGAATTCAGGAGATGCAAGCAGAATGAAGAAGATAATGACAAAGGAAACAATTCAAAGAGAATGAGGTAACTTCAGAAGAAGGCCAGCCCAGTGACAAAGAAAACCAGTAAGAAATTAAGAGACCACTGACCAGAATTGATTGGACTTGGGGATCGGGTCCTTAGTTGGAGGGCGTAATCCGGGGTAGGGGTCTTTACATTTTTCAGTGGTATCCTAGGGTCGGAACCTGTTACGGTGGCTGGCTGCGTAAATCCATAACATATGCCACCTCAAAAGAATGGGTTTCTTTGCGACACTGAGCTTCACACCATGTCCTCAAAATAGGCAGTGTCATATTGGTAGTATAGATGAAAAATGAAAATGCAGTAAAAAGTCATGCCCTTTAGTTTCTTGGGTTTCAAACTGCTAGATTGACAGAGAAATCATTCCAGACAGTCTGCTTGCGTAAGGAAAGAAGTGCTGCACAACAAAACAGAGTTAAACCAAGTACAGCGTTACAGATATAAGTAATACTGTGACTTATACCTGGAAATATGTCAGGGGCTGTGTGACCTTGGGAGTCAACGGTAAGAACTTTGTCTGAGTAAAATGTAAGATGTCTCTGAGCTAATGTTTTCCCTGTGGAGACTTGTACATAGTGCTTTGTATTGAACAATTTGCATGTAGCAAACACAACTAGTTGTTTAAGGACCTGAATCTCTTGAGAAACTGGCAGTTGGTCTTCTAGCAGCATACAGCTAAAAAAGTATTCAAATATAGTATTTACCTCAACTGCAGCTGAGTATCCAGAAGTATCCCTAGGTGGCAAGCATGACTAATAAAAGCCTTAGTCTGCTTTAAGAGAACATATACAGCTTCTGCTATCTCTTCTACTTTTCCAGTTCAGCTAGAATCACACTCCTTTTATTTGTATTGTTCCTGCCTGTGTCCCAGCTTATGTCTGTTTGGTACATGCACACGAGCAAAAGTGAGCAAATGTGCCTGTGAGTGCAAGTAAGCATGGGTGGATGTTTATAAAAAGGAATGTGTGCACACAGGCAAGCATAGAGGTATTATTTTGTGTGTGTGTGCATATAAAGGCAGGTTATTCAGATAAAGGAAGTTTTAATGGTTAAGTTGGTAAGTCATCATGACTGAATTTTATACTAACATACATGTATGCATGTGCACAAGTATGTCAGCAAATCAGTCTGCCTAAGGAAGGTTATATGACAAAATGTGTGCATGCTTGGTTGTTTTTAGACATGTATGCAGGAAGGCAAGGACGTGTGTGCGTGTGTGCGTTAGTCTGTGTGACTGGGCACTAACCTGTACTCTGTGCCCAAGGTAGTGGTTCTTGGTGATGCCAAGTCAGTATGCACCGATGATATTCTGGGCGGGGGTCCAATTTTACATCACATGATAACTATAGAAGAAGCAAAGAAAAAAGAAAATGTCATGCATTCAGATTGCACTGTCCAAGATAACGGAATCATCTGCTCAATTGTTTTTCCTTAAAAACAGTCTTTTTAAAAACTTGCATTTTGGGATCAGATGGTGTCTAGTGCAAGATCAAAAGCTGTATGTAAGGAAATAAATGCAGTATTTAAGGAAAATACAACTGTGACATGATAATATCGAAGTGTATGATGGAGTCTACATGCATTAAGTGGAATATTCCAGAGCTGGGATTTACTGTGATTTTAAAGATAGCATTTCTCTGGAAAAAAAGCTTTATTGTTTCTGGTCTCTGGATCTCTGCATAAAGATAAAATATCTATTCACATTTGAAATCCTGCTATCTCTGACAAAAGAGAAACGGCCAATCTTTGAACTGAAAAGACACAGGGAATGGCTCACAATGGAATTTAATGGGACACATTGGAAAATTCATGCAAAAGTGAGAGTCACTACAAATTACTCTCTCTTTCAGAATATCTTAGCCGTGAGATAAAGAAAAATCTGGATGCCTGAGGAAGTGTGAAAGAGAGACGGGATAAGCCGTAAGAGAAAAGGGCATAGCCAAGAACACTAGGAAAACTGTAAAGGGTACTGTGTTCCTTAGTACTTTATTTGAATCAAAAATAGAAGAATAGTACATTACAATGACATGCTGTAAATCTATATTAAGCAGAGTTACAATATCCATGACTTCTTATAAGAGTGACACGAATAGTTTAAGGGATTTATATTGCTTAAAGTGGGGGTCATATGGGTTACTTAAATAAATAACTCAAGAACAGAAAGGCTTTAAAGTTTGTATTTTCTATTGCTAATACAAAACTATCCAACTCTTTAGGTATTCACAGAATCATAGAATGGTTTGGGTTGGAAGGGACCTTTAACGGTCATCTAGTCCAACCCCCCTGCAATTAGCAGGGATATCTTCAACTAGATCAGGTTGCTCACAGACCCATCCAACCTGACCTGGAATGTTTCCAGGGATGGGGCATCTACCACCTCTCTGGGCAACCTGTGCCAGCGTTTCACCACCCTCATGGTGAAAAATTTCTTCCTTCTATCTAGTCTAAATCTATCCTCTTTTAGTTTAAAACCATTACACCCTGTCCTATCGCTACAGGCCCTCCTAAAAAGTCTTTCTTATAAGCCCCCTTTAAGTACTGGAAGGCTGCAGTAAGTTCTCCCCAGAGCCTTCTCTTCTCCAGGCTGAAGAACCCAACTTTCTCAGCCTTTCTTCATAGGAGCGGTGTTCCATCACTATGATCATTTTGGTGGCCTCCTCTGGACCCGCTCCAACAGGTCCATGTCTTTCCTGTGCTGGGAGCTCCAGAGCTGGACACAGGACTCCAGGTGATGTCTCACCAGAGCAGAGGGGCAGAATCACCTCCCTCGACCTGCTGGCCACGCTGCTTTGGATGCAGCCCAGGACATGGTTGGCCTCCTGGGCTACGAGCACACATTGCTGGCTCATGTCCAGCTTTTCATCCACCAGCACCCCCATGTCCTTCTTGGCAGGGCTGCTCTCAATCCCTTCATCCCCCAGCCTGTACTGATGCCGGGAGTTGCCCTGACCCAGGCACAGGACCCTGCTCTTGCCCTTGTTGAACCTCATGAAGTTCACATGGGCCCACTCCTCGATCTTGTCCAGGTCCCTCTGGATGGCATCCCATCCCTCAGGCATGGTGTTAACTGCACCATTCCGCTTGGTGTCGTCGACAAACTTGCTGAGGGTGCTCTTGATCCCAAGAGTACTCGTCCCAACACAGACCCCTCAGGGACACCACTCGTCACCAATCTCCATCTGGACATTGAGCCATTGACCCCTACCCTCTGGGTGCGACCATCCAATCAATTCCTCATCCACCGAACAGTCCACCCATCAAATCCACATCTCTCCAATTTAGAGAGAAGGATGTTGTGGGGGAGCATGTCAAAGGCCTTACAGAAGTCCAGCTAGATGACACTGGTAGCTCTTCCCTTGTCTGCTGATGTAGTCAGTCCATCACAGAAGGCCACTAGGTTGGTCAGGCAGGACTTGCCCTTGGTGAAGCCATGCTGGCTGTGTCAAATCACCTCCCTGTCCTCCATATGCCTTAGCCATAGCTTCTAGGAGGAGCTGTTCTAAGATCTTCCCAGGCACAGAGGTGAGGCTGACAGGTCAGTAGTTCCCAGGGCCCTCCTTGCTACCTTTTCTAAAAATAGGTGCAATGTTTCCCTTTTTCCAGTCTTCAGGGACTTCACTTGACTTCCACGACTTTTCAAATATCATGGAGAGTGGCTTGGCAACTACATCATCCAGTTCCCTCAGAACTCTGGGATGCATCTTGTCAGGTCCCATAGACTTGTGCATGTTCAGGTTCCTCAGGTGGTCTCAAACCTGATCTTCTCTTACGGTGGGAGGGACTTTGCTCCTCAAAGTTCCCAGATTATTCTGCACTTTTTACCACAAGTTAAAACAAACTTTTTTTTAAAAAAAAACAGGAAAGTGTTCTTCCTGCCTGATTGGCAAATGGCTGCCTCTGCATCTGTATATGTTGCTCCATTAGATAGCCATCTAACTCTTAGAAATTATCGGACTGAATATTACCATTAACATAGATTGAGAATGCACCTCTGTTTTTTGTGAACTTCCTTTACCTCGCCAGAATTAGTGTAGGACTCTGGTTCCGCAAACAAGACAGCATTTCAGAGCCCAAAGAGCTGTACTTCAACTTCTTGAGAGAATTTTTAAATAAAGGACAAGCTTCTTACCCTGGCTTTGATGATGGTGGGCCGAGGATCCAGGATACCCTGCATTTTCCTCAGTGCGGGAACAACAAAGAGATTGCAGGTGACAACAGCTGACACAGGGTTGCCTGTAGGACAAAGAACAGTTGGTGGTGACTCTCTCTTGATTTACTCTGTGAAATGCTGGAAGTGATCTCATGTTTTTATAGCAACTGCACTCTAACGAGCTTTTCATGCTATGTACAGGAAATGTTTCATTTAAGACTGGAGTGGCATGTGGCAAGCACACCTGTTGAAAGCTACTCTCTCTGGCTGATGGTGTGCTGAAACGCTGCTCTGACCAGAACAGCCCCATGTTCCTCAGGCCCCACCATCTGCCTCTGTCCTTTGGCTGCCTTTTGTCTTATGCTTGGATTTGTCTGGGGCCAGGGCAGGGTTTATTGTGCACACATATAAGTCCTAGCTGACAGGGCTCTTGATTCTTGATTAAGGTTTCCAAGACCTATGGAAAAATAACTTTCAATTCCCTAACAGAGTGGCAAAATGCTTTAGTACAAATTCTGAGCAGAATTCTACTGATTTACACATTTTCTGTTGACTCACAAGAGAGGTTTATGACCAACATCTGTCAAACACCACTTGTCTTACACATCTGGACTTCCCTAGATGACAGTTCTAAACTAAATACTATGATCAGACAGATGCTCCACTGATCTCTCACCTGGAAGAAAATGTACTGCAGCAACTAAAACCAGAGAGAGAAAAAGGACTAGAGATACATGTGAAAACCACCAGCTTATCACAGAATAGTTTGGGTTGGAAGGGACATTTAAAGGCCATCTAGTCCAACTCCCCTGCAATGAGCAGGGACATCACCAACTAGATCACGTTGCTCCGAGCCCTGTCCAACCTGACGTGGAATGTTTCCAGGGATGAGGCATCTACCACTTCTCTGGGCAACCTGTGCCAGTGTTTCACCTCCCTCATGGTGAAAAACTTCTTCCTCAGTCGAAATCTGCCCTCTTTTAGTTTAAAACCATTACCTGCTGTCCTATCGCTACAGGCCCTCCTAAAAAGTCTGTCCCCATCTTTCCTCTAGGGCCCTCTTCAAGTACTGGAAGGCTGCAATAAGGTCTCCCCAGAGCCTTCTCTTCTCCAGGCTGAACAACCCCAACTCTCTCAGCCTTTGTTCATAGGAGAGGTGTTCCATCCCTCTGATCATTTTGGTGGCCCTCCTCTGGACCTGCTCCAACAGGTCCATGTCTTTCCTGTGCTGAGGGCTCCAGAGCTGGATGCAGGGCTCCAGGTGGGGTCTCACCAGAGCAGAGTAGAGGGGCAGAATCATCTCCCTCGACCTGCTGGCCACGCTGCTTTTGATACAGCCCAGGATAGGGTTGGCCTTCTGTGCCGCGAGCACACATTGCCGGCTCATGTCCAGCTTTTCATCCAGCAGCCCCCCCATGTCCTTCTTGGCAGGGCTGCTCTCAATCCCTTCATCCCCCAGCCTGTACTGGTACCAGGGGTTGCCCTGACCCAGGTGCAGGACATCAAGAACAGGATTCCTTGCGTAGTCAGAAATCCATGCAAAGCCAGAGCAATAAGAATAAAATAAATTCCTTCTGATTTAGGAAGATAAGAGATTTGCAGCCAGATCCCTAAGGAAATGATTATTTTGAACATTTCTTATTCTGAACGGTGATTTTCCAAGGCGATGCAGGTGATGAAGCGATGCTGCCCTCTTTTGGTTCCACTGTACGATCATGATAAAAAACAATATTCTGCGACATGTTCCATGGCACTCGTTCCGTTTTTGTTTCCATTTTCAATACTTCGGAGCACATACACTGACTTACATGCACAAAATATTTACTGTGAAGGTGGAAGGAGCTGTAGGAAAAAGCCACCCCTGTATAGTACCACTTACAAAACCCAAGGGAATTGCTGGATGCAAGAAATAGTAAGGCCTGTACCCTGGCAAATTCTGAGAACTGGAGCAAGAAAAAACTTCTTAGTATATCTGTGTAAGACCATCTCCTCTGGAAATTTCTGGGAAAACCTTACAGGTACCTTCCTCAGGGATGCCAACACCAGACATCGATGCTGTGAAACCTCGCTATTCTGTTTCATGTGTGTCGTCCATGCACAGCAACAAAAGTAAGCCAACAAACATCTTACCTGGGAGTGCAAAGATTATTTTTCTTACGCCATCAATATCCAGAGTTGCAAAAGTTGTCGGCAGGCTACGGAAAATGAAAGCTATTTAATATCTGCACTGAACATTATTAGGTTGTTATTAAAAACATTTGGAAAAGAAAACAAAACAGGATCTCTCTCTCAGCAGGTCATTAGCACCTGCTGCTTACTCCATACTGGGGGTATAATCCTCTCTTTGTGATGACAGAGCAATTAGTTTTTATTGGTATTCAGCTCTGAAGTTTTAAGTAGACAGTTTTGCTCCTGGTGAGGAAACCTCTAAGAGCAGATGAACTAGTAATGAAAATTCTACATCCTGCTTTCATGCTAGAAGCCAATTAACAAAGAAGTAATACTGAAACTACGCAGTTACAGAGCTGTATTTGTTTTTCATATAAGGCGCTCCAAATATTTTGTAACATCATTGACTCCAATTTCCCCTACTCCATTGTCTACAGCAGCAGTGACAACTGAGCAGTATTTCAGAGCAGCACATGCTAGCTAGTCTGCAGATGAACGAATTCAGATACACATGCAGAGTTGGAGTCAGGTGAGACCTGGCTCTATCAGTAGAGAGCACGCTCTGCCTTTCAGAGCTCCTCCTGAGTGTTCTTTAGTGACTTGTTATCAGGGCTATCACAGTTATACAAATAGGTCAGTAACGTGATGGCTCAAGAATGTGGCTGGCAAAGAAAAGGGACTCATCCATTAAAAAAAGTTTTCTATATACCTATGTTAATACAATCCTTTTAAACATTAGAAATGATACTTTATAGGAGCAATAATTAGGCTGAATTCCTTGGCTTCAACTTGACTTAACAACTATCACCTGTAGATATACCTGTCAGATAGTTGCTGACCAGCAGCATCTTTGGAGATTTGCCACACTTTGAACATTACTACCTAGTTTTGCATCTGCCAGGAGTAATCAATACCCTACTTTACCAGGGGAAGTCGGTGTTTGAAGTTTCTGTTTTGAAATGTCTCTAACTTAATGGGAACTGTATGCCAGACCTCCAAATCTTACAACCAGTGTACAAACTGAGGTACAAAAAATCTAATTGCTAATTAATATTTACTGGAAACCTCGGAATTCTCATATGAGATTTCAACACCATCATTGGTAAAGTCTTCCAGTACTTTCTTCTGGCAGTGCTGCTTGACAACCTTACACTAACTCAAGCAACTTTCAGATCAAGTGGAGGAATGCTAAATCCCGGGCACCACTCTCCAGTCATGTAGCACATCAAAATACAGGCATACAAAGCAAATGCTGGCTTTGCTCTTGGAATTTATTCACGGGAATTTTTCCCAATACAGTAATTCATATCTAAGGCCTTTTAAGACAGAATTAACAAAAACTAAGACACAGTATTTGCTATTGCACTACAGCCAATAAAAATGAAAGTGCTTACTTTCTAAGTAAGATTAGCTGACCAAATGTTTTGGTAGCAGTAAGAAATATTTTTCTTATGGCATAAAATGAAAATGGATGTTTGGGGAAAATAACATTTCTTAAAGCTTTGCTGGCTAGCTATTAAAAGTTTATTGCTACAAGTCTACAAAGGGATCACCAGAAGAAAGAATTACGTTCACTTTCAGATAAGCCAGAACCAGAATTTAATATTCTGAATTCTCTAAATCAGGTTATCCATTCTTGTCAGCAGCAGAGGTTGGAGTGCAGATCCCACGTTTGGGACTCCCCCACATCGGGTGTAGCAGTATGACAGAAGCAGTGAGCAATTTCCACGCCTGGGCTCCATCCAGCACGGGCAGAAACTTTCAGCTCACTTCTTCCTTTTGTGGCAGGAAGGTGGTGGTAGCAGCAGCACGAGCACCAAACCCACAGGCAGTTCTTTACTGGATTGTCCGCAGAGACAGTACAAGTATTTGTTTTCACAGCAAACGCCCACTTTTTGTTCTGCTGCCTGGCAACAGTACGGGGCTGGAGGGAATCACTCCTCAAGGCTGCCCTTGGCCTTGTGTGACCGGACCGTGCCAAGCTAACCTGCAAACAAAGTGCACTGCGTGGCTAGTGGGGCAGCGCTGCAGGCACCCTGTCGCTGCTCTACTGTGAAAGGGAACTCTCTATTTTCAATGCATGCAGTTTTCATTTGCTCTACAAAGCACACTTCCAGGCTCATTAATTAGCAGTGCTACAGCACAGGAAAGCAATGCTGAAACAGTTTTCCGAGGCAAACTAAACACATAAAGGATTGTGTTTACTTTAAAATTACTGTGCTCAATATACCAATTAGATAAAATTTTGTAAATTAGCTGTCACTCCACCTCTCTCAAGAAATTGCTTGTTTGGATGAATATGACTTACGCAAATTTTGAAGTGAAATGAGATGACGGTTAAGCAAACCAGCAGTTAAATGTCCTTACGTTTCCCCGTTATTTCATGACAATGTCACTATCTGAGCTCTGTGATCACAGCAAAGACTGTGGTCATGTTTATACCATGCTGGTTTCCCCCCAACACCCAAACCTGATCTGCAACAGTTATAAAAGAAATATGAGTTAGTTATAAAAAGAAATCTCTTTGTTCCAGTTAATTTCACCCATAAAGATGATGACTAATCTGAACAGGACTGATTTTGCTTCTTTTCCCATACATATCTACCATGTGGTTTAGATTATATTTGGAAAACTGTAATCTACTGAAGCACTTAATATAGAATATTTTGCCCCATACAGCCTTCATCTATGCTGTCTAAGTAGAATAATTTCTTACCCTGGTTTCATAAAAACTCTGCCAAAGTGAATCTGTGCGTGAAGATCAATATCCAGCACCTGTTTAAGATAGTCCTGTTTAAATTTAAAAAAGAAAATCGATTAAGTAACATCAAAGTGGCTTACATCATCTAAGCATTCAGACCAATTAATTAACATCAAGTGAAGATGAAAGACTTTTCATATCCTGAAAGTGCTACAGTCCAGTGGGGAATTTCCAGTATTTGAAAGAAAGTATTTGCAAAAAGAAGAGGTGAAGAACAGACTAATTTTAGGTGCCAAACCTGACTCCATGAGGAAATAGTAATATATTTACTTAAAAATCAGCTGCAGCATCAGAATCTTAGAGGACCCCACAAATACCTACTACTGAAACATTCTCTATGTCAAAGATGGAAAAAAGCCTTTATGGTTCAAAGTTAAGACTTAAAATCATCAAGTTCTTTAACTTTTGCCATGGAAGCTATCTAGCAGTAGAGTTAGAGATCTCCTAGTACTTTTGAAATCAATATTGTACTGTAGAAATCATAGTTTTCCAGGATACTGTAATTATTGTAATTTCTTTGGTAGATGGTCTGATTCACAGTGGTTGGGTTTAACAGTCCTTAGAAAGGAAAAACTGTGGGTGGCTTGTGTGTTCAAGTTAAATGATTTTGCATAAACACAATCGATCCAGTTATTAAAATGAATTACTTGTTTAGTCTGCATTGAAAATTGCTGTGCTCAAAGATGTAGTATCCTGTCTGTTGTGTTTAGTGAGATTAAAGACACAGGACCTAAGAGTCATCTGTGAAGAGAGACTTTGGAAACAGTAAATCTGAAGCTCCCTTGCAGTTTTCCT